CCCCTGTGGCCCGTGACTCGCTCAGCCCGCGGCCCGCTGCCTGGCTCGCCTGCTCTCCCGGCCTCTGTCCCCACGCCCCCTTCTGCCCCGGGACCCCAAGACAGGCCCAGGGCACGAAAGGGCACATTCAGGAACGCTAGGGCACCCAGACTCCTGCCCACTCACCTCCTGAGGCCTCGGTGGGGAGGGGCAGGCAGGGCTGTCCCCAAAGGCGCGAAGGAGGTGAAGCCACCAACTTCAGCCCAGAAACCAGGAAAGGAGGGGTAACAGACGGGGTGGGGGGGGGAACCAGCTGGAAATGCAGCCGCCCCCAAAGCTGTATCCTTAGTGAAGGACCAAGCCAGGCTACAGGGTGGCTGTGATCAGGACTGAGGGGAGGACAAGGTGGCCTCGGGATCAGGCAGCCAGGTGCCCCTTCCTTCTCTGCTAAAGCTCACTCACGCTAAGAGGCAGCAGACCAGAGGGCTGGGGGCTCACAGGAGCCTTTCCCCTCCAGAACCCCGAGGCGCCCCCCCCAGCCCCCCAGGTGCCCGCCATGATGACCCTCAGGTGGCAGTGACCCCGTCACTGTAGAAGACATTTTCTCCTGCTGAGCAGAAGCCTCACCCCCTGCAAACTACCTCTTCCCACAATGTCTTTCTCCCCTGGTACCAAAAAGAACCCTGTACCTCCTCCTCCTCTTCTTTCCTGCCAGTGCAGTGGCCTTGGTCGTGGAAACCCAAGGGAGAAGGGCTGGCCCCCAGGGTGGGGCTCCCCTTTCCTCCCCCAGCCCCACCATCAGCACCGGCCCTCTGCGAGGTTCGATACTTGAACGCCCCCCTGCCCTGTGCCTTGGACCCGGGCAAAGCTAAGAGAAGGAAACAGCACAACTCACACATTTGAGCTGGGGGGTGGTCTCCGCAAGGCTCCTGTCCTCACCCCTCCCCCAACCTTTCGAGAGAGGCGCGCACGCGGCCTCTTGGGTGACTTGGAAACTCCTGGACAAATTCCATCCTAACTTATTTTGATGTGTATACAAACCAACTGTTTAGAAATTCCACTTGTGCAAAGCCCTACTGTGTTTTTATGTTCCCGTTTAAAAGAGAAGTTTACTTAGCAATAATTATAAATAAATGAATATTCTTTAGCGAGGTGACTGTGAGTGCTTCTTCCCCTGGTTCTTGAGGACTTGGTCCTCACCGTCCCCCACAAGGGACTCCCAACGAGGCTTCCCAACCCTGCGGAGGCGTCACTCTCCAAGGAGGGGAAGAAACCCAGACCATCCTTTGCATGGGAATGGCCACCTGCAGGGCCAGGCACCTACGGGGAGCTGCTCCGAGCCCCCCAAGAGGGAAGGGCTCCAGCCCAGGCCCCAGAATTCCCACCAACTGCAGAGAAAAACCGCTTCCCCTGCTGACCCACCAACAGGGCACCAGGACAGAAGCCAGTTCACGATGCCACACTGCCCTTCAGAGGCTGCCAGCCCTTAAGAAGGGCCCAGAAACCTTGAGCTTCGCCCCAGGAGTTGGGCCTAAGCAGAACCAGCACACCAGCTTTTCTTCCTGCCGCCCTGGGAGTCCAGCGTGATGAGCGAAGGGAGTACGTTATCCCTCGGCCAGATGGAGGCCACCAGAGTGAGTGGTGGCCACAGCCCATCTCCAAGCTCCCGAGGTCCCAACTGTCCAGTCTCAGGAGCCATGAGAGTCCCCCCCGAAACTGGGTTGCCGAGTATTTACTGTTATCAGGTGAAGATGGTATGACCCTTCCCCTGGACATGTAAACACCAAAAGTAGAATACAATCCCTGCGTAAAAGACAGCCCTTTCAACTGGATCTACTTAGCTTTAAAGCAACTTTGTAATCTTACTTTTTCGCCAAAGAACAGCGAAGATGAACCCAAGTCTGGGCCCCAGTCCCAGCCCCAGCCCCAGCCCCAAGCCCCAGGCAGCCATGGACAGGACAGAGGGGCAGCTGCTGTGTGGGATCCACTTTGAAGACCCAGAAAAGGGCAGAGAGAGAGGCCCGGAGATGTTGAGAAGCTTAGAACCAACAAAGCGAAAAACCAGAATCTATGAGAAGTGATAGCAACCCTGAAATGGACAGGAGGATATAGGGACGGGATTGTGCTAGGTAATCTCAGGGAGCCCACGGGCCCGCACACCGGGAGTCCCGGGGCCCGTCAGGCGGCTCCCGTGCAGTTCGGATGCTCCCAGTGCTGCCCACTCCCCTCCCCTCACGGTGGGCCCTGACTGATGGTGGCCGGGGACCCAGGCCTGCGGCGTCCCAGTCTGTCCCGGGGAGAATCCGCCAGTCCTTGAGGCCCTCTCTCTCTGGGGCCCGAGCTGCGCGGCCTCCTTCCCTGGGGCACAAACACAGCAGACGGTTTTGTGAAGAACTTTTTAGTAGCTAAATATGGCACCATGTGTTCCAAGGGCAATATAAATTACAGTATGCAAGACACACTGACTGGCTGAGGTAAAACGCTGTTCCTGCCTCACGTCACCATGAGGGGAAACGCAGATACTTTTAAAAACATCTTGCTCATATAAAAAACGTCCCCTAGAAAGGCCTGAGGAGGGGCTCCCCCGCGGCCCGCGGCTTGCTCGGCCCGGCCCGCCCGCCACAGCCGCCGGGCCGCGCTCCCGCCCCCACTACTGGCCCAGGGCCTTGTCCAGGTTGTTCTTGATGGTGTCCAGGAAGTCCGACGTGTTCAGGAAGTGCTCGTTCAGCTTCACACTGCCGAGGGAACACGGTTCGCGTGAGGAGCGCCTCCAGCCGGGCCCTGCCAGGGCAGAGCTCGAGCTCGGGCCCCCAGGTGGCTGCCCCCTGACCCCCTCGCCCGTGGGGAGCCGCGCACCCAGGCTACCGGTCACAGGCTGCCGGGAGCCCACGGCCAAGGGCCGCAGCAAGTTCAGCAGGAACTCGTAGGGAAGGGGATGGCAAGGCCCTGAGTGGCCAGCCCGCTAGCCCCGGGAATGGGGACCAACGCACTGGGCCTCAGGGCTGTGGACCTGTCCCACCTCAGGCCCTTGGCAGCGAAGCGGATCCCGGAGGGGCCTCTAAGGAGCCTCTGGCTTCTTCCCACCCGGCCCCGAGGTCCGCGAAGGCCAGCCCCGCCCTCCGCCACAGGCCACGCACTTGCTGAGGCCATGGATGCAGCCTGCCAGGTCCTTGGTCATGGCTCCGCTCTCCACAGTCTGGACACACACTTTCTCCAGGGTCTGCGCAAACCTGCAGGCGGCGGGGCAGAGTGAGGCCCCAGCTCACAGAGCCGGGGCCCAGCACCTGCCCTGGGCCAGCTCAGGCCCCCCGCCCTCTCGGCTCACCTGATGAGGTCCTGGTTCCCGTCCAGCTTCCCCCGGTGCTCCAGGCCACGTGTCCAGGCAAAGATGCTGGCAATGGGGTTCGTGCTGGTGGGCCGGCCCTGCGGGGCAGGGGCCACAGAGGCATTAGGAGCCAAAGCAGCTGACAAGGGGGCCACCTGGACGCAGCTGCCCACCCCTAGACTGACAAGCCAGACCCATCCTCCCAGTCTTCCGCGCCAATGGGTTCTGAGCCCCTGGGGTAGATGGGCACGCGACCACAGTCCCTACCACTCACCTTCTGGTGCTCCCGATAATGGCGGGTGACCGTTCCATGAGCAGCCTCAGCCTCGATGGTCTTCCCATCCGGGCAGACCAGCACAGACGTCATCAGGCCAAGGGAGCCAAAGCCTGAAGAGGGGGAAGACTCCTTTCAGGGCCAACACCACCCCTCACCCACCCTGCCCTCCTGCTCGTGAGCTGCCTCTCAGCTCACAAGCCCCGACTGTGCCTGGGAGGACAGCCACCGTTTCCGGCTTGTCTACCCTTGTCCTGGGTCTCCAGAGCCCAGCACAGGGCAGGGGGCATTCAAAGGTGGCATTCGTCAGCCTGTGAACATATATCTGGGTAGCTACCTAGGTGTTCCCAAAAAGTGAAAAACTTCTATAAGAAAATTACTTGTCTAAGGGGCACCTGGGTGGCTCGGCTGGTTAAGTGTCTGCCTTTGGCTCAGATCACAATCCCGGGACCCTGGGATCGAGCCCAGTGTCCGGCTCTCTGCTCAGTGGGAAGGCTGCTTCTCCCTCTCCCTCTACTCATCTCCTCTCCCCCTACCCTGCTTGTACTCTCTCACTTTCTCTCAAATAAAGAAATAAAATCTTAAAAAAAAGAAAAGAAAAAAAATTAGTTGTCTAAGAATGTCTGCAGCTGGGGCAGGGGGAGAGGGTCTCTTCTCCATGGTTACCGGACCCTCACGCTCACCAATTCCTTATTACTTAAGGGTAACTTTCATGCCTTTCTCTGGTCTGCTCTGGCTTTTCATCTTTCCATCCTAGATAGGAATTGTTCTAGTGAGAGGATCACCACTGCACTTACTGAAATAAAGCCAAAGGTTTTTATAAAACATCAGGACCCTAGGTCTTTTCCTCAACAACCTGGGGTGGACTTCACTTTCCTCCGTATCAGGAGCTAGACTTCACCCCATCTCATGGAACATTGTTTTTCCACCCTCTCCGTACTTCACATGTTGTCTACTCTCACCGCCTTTCCCGCTCTCGTTCCCAGCACAAATGGGCGAGTTCTCACAGCTACCTCTCTAATGGCCTCATCCATGCCCCTGCCGTAATCCAATTTGTCTCACGGGACACTCTAGGGCGTGGGGCTTTGCCACCTTCCCCAGTATTCTCCTACATCCAACAGATTTACTGTGCAAAATGAATTCTCTGTTGTTCAAAAAGCACCCAGTTGTGCTCAATCCCATTTTCCTCCTGGAGCCAAACCTGGAGCCAGTCACTTGGCCCACAGGCAGGAACAACCTCAAAGCTGACACACCTAGCCCT